GAAAGGCAGTAGTACAGAATATAATTTTGAGAAAATTAGAAAGAAATCTAATATACCAGTTTTTCAGTCCTTTACATCTAGAGATTGGAAGCGAGTCTAAGACAAAACTTACTGAAAAATATTATTATAGAATATTGTGAAACATATTTATATTGGTATGTTTTTAAACTGTTGTTATTTAAGTATATTAAATTTCTTTTTATTATCTGAAGTTTATTTTTTATTATTTCTTAAGTCTATTTAATTTTATTATCTGCAACTGGGTATCATATTGTGGACCATTTTTGGAAAACCATGCATTGTACTATATTATAACAGAAACAAACTTTTAAGAAAAAGTAAAATGCAGAAGAGATTTAACCAAGTTTTATGCCCCCTTTTTTTTTTTTTTACTAAGATGGTGTTAGATGAAATTTGTCGCGAATGAGATGATGAATCTGAAGTTATTTATATTTTAGATCTCAATTAGATTTAAAAATATATTTTGTTAACTAAAACAATTTTAATTAAAATAGAAATATCTATATTGCCAATGATAACTGCAAATTAAAAACTATTTCCAAATTTATGATTTTTTTATGATATGTTTAAAGAGAGATTAAATTTTTTGATTTTTAAATATATATTAGTTTAATATGTTTAATTTTGTATGATATGTGAAAGGTCTGTTAGTTATTTAAGGTATCTTCATATTAAATATAAAGGCAAACATACTATATAAAATAAGATTTAAATAAATAACAAAGTATCATCAATATATATGGTTTCAACATAGTTTTTTGTTTTCATCTTATTAAATAACATGATGACTAGCCAAACAATTTGATGGGAAAGTCTAAACTATGAAACAATAGCAAAATTGACAACTTAAATCCTATTTTCCTATCATGGTAATGCATATTTTAAAAAAATTCAGTTTTTCATGCTAAATGTTATATACTGTTAGTATTTTAATGATGCATAAATTTTTCAACAGTAAAAAAGCTTTTGAAAACAGTATTTTCAAATAAACTTATATTTACTTTTTCTTAATTTTCTTGCAGTATATTAAAATAGTTGGCTCAAATAATTATATTTAAATGAATTTATAATATGCTAAATGAATAGTCTATCAGATTATAGCAAAAATGAAAAGAGCTTATCTCATCAAGATGAGAATGAACCAGACTCAAATTATTCAAATATAACTTTAATTAACATGGGGAATGCATTTCAGGTACACGCAGATCCCTCATCAGCCCACTGAAGATTAAACATATGGCAGTAAACACAATAAATATCTAACATATTGTAACAAACACTGTTCACAGACTGATATTATAAATAACACGGTGCACTGTGTATACAATTACATAAAATACTAAATTAAAAGTAATTAAAATCTTACAATAGTACAATCCATACAATCCACAAAGATAAAAACAATCAATAGTTGTAGTGCATGAGGAACTGACAAATATACTGTTTTCTTTAATTATATAAAACTTATTATACAAATTATACTGTTTTTTTTAAATATATAACTTACTATTGATGGAACCAATTTTATCATTAGTTACATTTATGATTTAATTATAATAAATTAAAAATCTGGGTGTCTTACTTTACTCAGTTTAATATTTCCTTTAGTTAGATTAATACATTAAATTAATTAAATATAAATAAATAAATAAAAAATATCTGTATATATTTATATACTCAATTTTTATTTAATAAGTTAAATAGTTATTGAAAAAGTATATATGTATATATATAGTTATCTTTATGTTGAAATAGGCAAATTTCAATTCATATTAACCTGTTATAGTATCAACATTAATACAAACTTGTCAAAAACAAATTATGTACTGTACATATTGATTTACCTGTCTACATTATGTTGCTTGAACTATATTACAATTTTACAATATTAATAGAACTTTAGATATTACAAGTGTAGATGTTACTACAACCTTAAGATCAATGTATTACATTTACATGAAGATGCTTAAGATCAAGATTATCTCATTGTTGCTGTAATCTGGTAGGCTGTTCATTTAATGTATATTTAACTTTGGACTATAAGCATACCTAATTAAATGTTTTTATAATATTATAAATTAACTAAAGTTTGGGGGGTTTTTTAACAATGATAAAATATCTCAGAATTGTTGCTTCTTGTTTTGGTTTTCATATTAATAATTAGTTAATAGACTAATTGATTTGTCTTTCTTTCAGACTTTATTTAATAAGATTGGTTTGATAAGTCTGGAAGAGTGTCAAATCAGTTATGATAACAATTATTAAAATGATAAAATATATTTTTCCAAGAATAGCTTATTAACTAAGTATTTTAGTTTGAAAAGTAAGTCTATATGCTAACTTCTAAATAAAAAGTTTTAAATCAGCTTTTATCTACTGATGGATAGGTTATACTTTTCAGCAAAGTTTTTGGAAACTTTTACATATGTAACAGAAAGTTAAAAACATAAAATGAGATATACAATTATTTCTGAAGAGTATACAATATTCCTTTTGCAATATTAATGAAGCATGCAGTGCCTTAATGTTGTAAATGCCAAAAAACAAACTTTTCTGGAGAGATGATAAAATATTTTTTTAGTGAATGAACTCCTTCAAGTCTTGAAGGAATTTGTTTCAATTTTACAATAAAATGGTAAGTTACAAATTCTCTGGAATAACAAAATGATGTAAACATAAGCTGTAACATTTTAAATGCCAAAAGTTATGTGACTTACACTTTGGCACTTATGGCTTTCATGTAAATTCAACTTAAAAATACAGCACCATTATTGCCACATTTTTTTTTTGCAGCAGAAAACATTGTGTTTAGAATTTATTTCTTCAAAAGAACATATTTAGAGAAAAATGGCATTTATAATGTTATGGCATTGCANTCAATTCCACATTTAAATTTGGAAAATTAAATGAAATATTTTAATAAAAACATGCTCTAATCTTACACATTCCAATTTTATTCTTCAGATAAGTGTAAACGAATCAGTTAATATGAATTATTAATCACTTATTTTGTAATTTATGAAATGTATATGTATTTAAGATATTTATGTAATATAGTGTTTATCTATTTTGAAATGTGCTAAATGCTAAAGAATTGTCATCAGAACTGTTTCTTTATTAAATTAATATTTTGAATTATACGATTTTTATGATCTTAAAATTTTTGTTTTTAATTCTGTTTCTTTTTATTCTGTTATTTAATAATCTATGTTCATCACCAAAAGTATTACATTATCATAACTTTAAAAAATAAAGAAGTCATAATTTTTAAACATTTAAATGGTGCACTAAACATTTTTGAGCAACTTTTTTATCATCAAATGTTAATATAGAAGAAACACTGATCTTAAGGAACTTTAAAAACTTCAGATTTCTCAATTTAAGAATGTTCCATGTTAGCATCTGATGCTGAGGAGAAACTCTTAAAAAAAAATATTTGTACTTAAAAAGTTCTATAATAAAATGTAGTTATGATGACACATTTGTGATGATAACCTATTTTCACAACTTCCTGTTACATAGGCCAACAATAACCTCAAATTGAAGCTAACAAGATTAATTTCAGAGCAGAGATGATCTATATGCTCAGAAAAACCTTTTTAAGCATTCAAACAAGAATTTGAATAAATGCTTACTTATAATGAAATTTCCTATAAGCAAAATAATAATACAGTAATAAACATATAAATTTTTCAAATTATATACATAAATATTATACATAAATGCTAATTACACATAAATGATTAATTAAATAAATAATTTAATCCTAACAATTATATTTTATTAAATTTTATTAATTTTACTTGATTAAAATGAATTTTAATTTCAAATTATTTGATAAAGTTGTTATTGTCAATATAAATTACTTTCAATATAATCAGTTTCAACTCAAATTGTGATTCTCAATTTTCAAAAAAGTAAAAGATTGCTAATAAAGACAAAATGAATGTCAGAAAATAAATCAATAAAGTTTTCCTCTGGTACAATTTAGGCTTTAGATTGATGAATCAAAGATGATATTTCTTTATTTGTAATATCAGAACTACATGTAAAGTTGTACTTTCATTTCTTATTGATTCTAAAAAACAGGAAATTCTGTTGTGTTGTAGTAATATAAAATCACTCCCTTATTCAGTAAAATTCTTTATATAACATTTAAGTAGTTATTTAGATTGAATTTATTTATTAAAAAAAAAGTGTTAAAAACAAAAATTATTATAAATATATTTGTAAAATGTTTTAAAAAAGACTCAACTGATTTACATGTATTTCTGTAATTCTTGCATTATCTTCCATTTGAACCAGGGATGGGGAGTTAGTGGAAAAATACACTACTCACAACTTGGTATTTTTTTTTAAAATCGACTTCCAACTCTAACTCTCCATCCCTGGTTTGAACTATGAGAACTACACCAATTTAAACAGGATTAATTTTTCTTCAAAATGTTTTCAGCCTCCTTCATAGACAAGTAGCTAGACTGACTATAGTAGAGTGCTTCTAATAAATTGTGGTAGGGCCTTACTAGGGACCTCTAGGTCGCTGTCATACAACACACCAGAGAAAGTCTCCTGGAAAATTTTTGAAATATTAATAGTATTGAATAATGTACAGTGTGTACAAAATGATATAAAAATGTTCAAAATTAAACATTATCTAATATATATATTTAAAAGTTCACATTATGGACAGGGATGCTTGGTCCATAAGACTATGGACCTGTCATCATAGACCATCTTCAAGATTCTTTATTTCTCAGAACAAATTCAAAATAGCAAGTGTAGTGTTTGAAATTGATGTGCAAAATAATGAAATTATTTTGCTAAATTGGCATGGTTTATATAGGATATACATTCTGCTGTCATAATAATGTATCTTCCCTTTGAAAGTGTGAGAATATTTTTTAACAATGCCTAGCAAATTTTATTATACTGTAGGCCTTATACATTATATATATATATAAAATCACTTTCTAATCTACAAGAACATTTCTCATGTTTTACCAAAGGTGTCATTATAAATAAATTAAAATGATATGATTATTAATATCATAAATATTAATAATCATTTTTAATATTTATGATATTAAAATGTTTCAAATAATTTAGAATGATTATTTAATGTTGTTTAATCAAGTTTGCATAATTCTGTAGTCAATTGTTGTTTATTATTTAATGATTTTATGACAATGGAAATCCCTGATATCAGTTACTGGTATTGAACTATGTATTACATAAAATACAATACATAGAAACACCACTTTACCTTTCCAGATAAATATTTTCAGGTATTTTATTTCAAGGTTATTTGGATAATGGTTGTGAATATTTAAAAAAAGGAAAGAAAAACAGCTTAAACTATTCAAATGAAATACGTAACCTTATACTCAATGTTTAGAATTCATTATTATTATAATTTTAAAACTTTGATTTTTTTTTCTTCCAGGAAATGCTTTCTTTTTATTTGACATTATGTAGCAATTCACTCATCAATAAGTAGAGAATATATGTAAATTAGGTTTAAGTAGTGTTATATTAATAATTCTGACATTCTTGAAGAATATTTGCTTAATATTTTATTATAAAATACATGATTATGTAAAAAAATAAGTTAAGTACAAAAACTTTTCTATGGCTTGGGATTTTCGTTGATTATTTCAGTACTCAGGAGATTTAACAGTACCCATGAAAAGAATAACGTTAGATTGGACATGTCTGATTAAGTACAAAAACGGTCTGTCTGCTACAAATCGTGTTATTCCACCCGGACGAGCAACTCTAGATAATAAGATGGAAGTGGTAACTGCAGCCTCCGTTCCTTCTTCGTTTACTTTAATATATGATTTATGATAAACTGCATCTACAGTTAAGTCTTTCTTACCAGTGAAACCGGACAAATCGGTAAATACAGGGTTAAACATGCTACGTAAACCCATCTTTTGTAAAACGTTCGATAATTCAAATTCCTGTTCGACTTTAAATTTGGGAATGGTAACCCATAATTCGCGATGACTCATGGAATTGATTAAGTTCTTCAGGCGACTTCCCGTGATAGTTTTAACTAGATTATCGAAACCGTTGTAGGGATGTTGTGGTAATAATAATAGCATGCTCAGTTCATCGCCAGAATAGGGTATTTCTAAAGCTTGGCACTTCATTTCTTCGCTTACTCCATAGATAAATGTGCCATGTGTATTCATCATATCCACTCTATAAATTGTATCGCGATTCATATAGAATCTGGAATTTCTAGTCATTTCTGGATTAAATTGGGTTTTCCAATGTTCCTTAAAATAAATTGCGTTAATTACGACCATTTGCGTTTCAGAAGTTACAGCAGAGGCTGGTATTACATCGTGAATTTTTCCATTTGTCTTTCCTTCCACCCATTTATTTATTTCCTCGCCTGATATTTTCGGATTTTCAGAGAAATCAATTTTCTTTACTATATTTTTTAACACATCTTCGCAAAGTTTAAGCTCTACTTTTTTGTCTATATATATTCTGTTGGCCATCTTGAAACTAGCATTTTCATTATCGCCACACTGATGGCAAATTTCTAAAAACTTATCGAAAAGTTTAGGCAAGAAAAATTTCTTGGTGAAATCTAAACCTAAGACATTTTCTAATTCTTTCGCAGTCTGTCCTCTGGCGCCAATGTAAAGCGAACTGAGAGCGCTCCAAATACTTAGAGGACTGTAGAACAAGTTTGTAGAATCGTTTTTCGAATCAGAATTAAGATTTCTAAACAATTCCAAGCCGAATTCCATATTTCCAATCTCGAAACTCTTCAAGATATTATCCCAGTTAGGATCAAGTGCATCGTTTTCTTCTATACATTCGGCGTAAACAGTAGATAATCCAACGAGAATCAAGAATAGAAGCGTGCTCATCTTATCTGTAATATGGAAATAAATTTCTTTTAAATTCCTAAATTATAAAGGCACAAATAATTAAGCTATATTTTACGATTTGTGTATATAATAGTACTAAAATATCGCATAATTTCGTCATCATAAACATACATTGACTCCGCTTGAACGCTTCGATTAACACACTATTTTGTGGCACCTTGACCGAATAACGCTATAAATGTCAATAACCATAATCGATTTTCAGAAAGAAGTAATTAGGTTTATTGATAATGATTCATATCAACGGTCTAATCCGAATTAAAGATAAATATAATTGTAATTATCCTTGCATCGGATACGTTTTAGTTATTAATTTAAACAATTATTTACTATAAAATGTACAGCGATTTTATCGTTAACGAGGAATTTTCTACAAGGAAAATGTTATTAATTTATAAATTTTTCCTGTTCGGTTTTAAAGTTTTCAATTTAATAAATGACAACATTTGTTTATCAATTGATTTTTTGTTAATCGATTAAATAATCAATTTAATTTAATAATGAGAAAAAGAAACTGATACATAATCGATGAATTTATTAAATTGAAAAAAATTCTCCAGAGATTCGGAAAATATTAGTTTAATGACCAGCAAATGGATATTTAATAATCGATTAATTTTTTTATTACTAATGATAATCGATTTTAAATGGCAATTTCTAAAAATAAATTAGTTCGGTAATTATTAAAAGCTGATCTTCAATATTTCGTGTTTAATCGATTAAAATGTAAATTTATTCTGTCAAATTAGTAATTAAAGAAGTTAATTAATTTCGATGCCATTATTCAATTTAAAGTATCAATTAATTACGTGATACTGGCCGCATCGATATCAGCAAATGACCGATGTTCACGAATTTTATGGCGAAAAATTTGGCATATCAGATTTAATCGCAATAAAATTATAAATAATTTTTGTGATACTAAAAAAAGTTCTCTCTATTCTAAACCCAAATTTATTTTATAAAATTTAATAAATTAAAAAGAAAAATCACGTTCGAAGAAGGGAAAACCCCGACTTCACAAGAAAACATTTCGCAATTCAATTTGCGCTTCATTATAAAATCTCTATATATAAATATTAGTTATTATTATATTAATATACGTTTTCTTAAAAACTATAATGGATGATTGTTTAAAATTTTAAATAAAGTATTTTTTTAATAAACTTACCTGTGTTAAATGAACGTTTGTGTGAAAATCAATCTCCTAACAACTTTTATAGTAAAGGTAGATAGGACTTCCACTAATTTCATACTGAGTTGCCCTCTAGTGCACGAATTGGGAAACACCCAATTGCTCTGCGAATGCAACTGTTCAACTTTTTCTTCCTTCGTGATAAGACGCGTTCTTAACAATTTTCCCATTGACGTCACCTTTTAATATTTCGCCATTCTTATTTTTATATATATTCACGGAAAAATTTAATAGTACGGATTAAAGAAAAACTTACACAAGAATGAGCGAAAATATATACATTTTTTTTTTTTTTTAAATTGCGTGGTAAAATATATTCACCTCATAATGCATTTATTCGTAGACTTTAGTAAATAGAAGTCGCCATATTTCGTTTCCGACATAATATAAAACCGGACGGATGTAAGAAATACAAAGAAAAAAATTTCTCAGAATTATTTTTTAAGATGTATAAAATTTTATGCCGATTTGGAACTACTACTAATTTTCCCCCTCTCAAATGACTAAAATTATTTAATTCGAACCAAAAGTACTCGTGTTTTATTAAATTTTTACCGGCTGAAATTAAATAAATAACGAAAAATCCGTAAGAGTCTAAAACGGAAAAATCCGAAATCGTTTCTGCTTCCAACATCTCGAGAGCGGTCGTTCCGTGATTATTCTGTGACGTCTTTTGGTGTGCACTGGAGCGAAGTGTGACGTCACGGCGAGGACCCAGACATCGATGAGGAGGATCTGACGACGACAAAAGCGTAAAACTTGAACTTCGAAAGATGGCGGAAGTGGATTTTGTCATTTCGTTTAAATCATAGAGATGTTATAGTCAGACAGGTAAGTTAACGGATAGTGTTAGTTTAACGATAGTTTAAATGAATAAATTATAACAAAACAGAACACAATTCTCCTTGTTGATATGGGTGGGGTCAGTTTAAAGTAATAGCGGTTCAAGGACCTTATTGCTGTTGTAGCAAAATGTTATCGGCCGTCATTTAATTAAATAACGTTACGATAAATTCTCCATGACATAAATACGTACAAATATATCTTAAATAATAATAATAATAATGTTAAGAAGACGGGTATTGTGAAACATAAAGTAGAAGTAAAATCTCTATCCAATGATACTTTTTTTGCTGTGAAAGTAATAAATTTTGTATATAAATTAAATTCTGTAGATTACATCTTCTGTGGCATCGTAACCATTCTTAATTGGTACATTTAACATTTCACCCCATTTCCTCTCCCGAATTCCAAGTGCTATTACAGTAACATTGAAACAAAATAAAAAAGGAATAAATGTGATAACGTCGGCATCATCACGTGATAACTAAATAAATACACGCGAAAACTTCTAATTTTGAAGTATAATATATAAAATCGTTTCTAAAAATAAGAATTTTAATTCGTTATGGAAACATTAAACGACCTCTTTTTTTCTTTTTCCTAAATTTAATAAGTATAAAAATGGCAAACATCTGGATGCCATAAGTAGAAAACTCGATAATGATAGTTATATTTTAATATTAAAATGAGATAAATTAAATTGAAATTTTCCAAAATTATTAATGAACTAATATGTGATTTTTTGTACAGTAATTGTCTTTAGAAAGTTTAAAAGGGAGGATTAAAAAATTGATTGTATGTCTTCAATTATATTCCTGAAGGGAAATGACGTCATCGTGGAATCTGGTAAGGTGACTTTATCATCACGATATAACTGGCTATTGTGAAATTTAATACATAAAATAATATTTAATTAACTACAATTGTGACATCGTTGTTTCTGAAACTGTCATTTTTTTAATACAATGGCAATAAAATAACGTTTAACAAGTATGATTAGTGGCGGCATCTATCGGCAAGATAATCTATACAATATTAAAGTGTACTAACAAGCACGTGATAGAGAGGAATAGTTTTACATTAAATACATTTAACGATCATTAGTCTATTATATTCAAATCTTGGTAACAATGACTATAAATGTCGTATTGAATTGTGTTAAGGCAAGAAATGACGTCATGTTTGTTTAGCAGGATATTTGTATGATATCATTTTTAGTTAAAATTGGTCATTATTGTGGGTTTCATTACTCTTCAAACTCGTTCGGCATAAATTAATTTCGTTACGATATTTGTTAATGCATTCGTAAAGGGTTTTCTCATACATTATCATTTGCTTTATTGTATAGTAGCTTATGGAATGGAGTTAAACAATTGTAATATTTCGTGGGTCTTTCGAAAGGTCGTTGACACGATTATAATCAAAACAATTCTGTTTACAAAATTAACTGGTCAAATGCTCCGAATAAAACTTTATTAGTGGCAAAAATAATTTTTTTTGGTGTTTTAACATTTTATATCACGATACGTAGGAGTGGTATCCTAACTTACCGGAAGCACTTACACTGGTTTCCTTCTCAGGATGACTAAACTTCACTTTTTTCATCCTCCCTGCCATCTGTACTGAAAGAAAACAAACTAGGGAGTTTCTCGGTAGCCCACACTTGCCACACTTTGACCTCGATTATTTACAAATTATAATTTTTCTTAATAGGTATGGGGCCCCAGAAAGGGATTGCCTCGAGGTGTTACTCGATTTGTTTCCCTTTAAAGGCATAATAAGCCGAAGTGTAAATTTCCCAGACACCCCTCAGTTCTTTAAAAGAAATGCTCCTGGAATAAGTCTTTAATTAAAAAATAGAGAGATTTTTAACTCGGCGATATAAATACAAAGGCTCGTTTGTTGTTGCATACCTGAAAAGAGAACGGTTACGATGACGTAGAGTTATTTTCGCCCACGTGACTAATCCCTGCCAATCAACCGATCGACTAAGGTATTGTCTGGGCAGCATGCTTCGTACCTGGTCGTCGAAGTCCTGACTCCCGATTTAGTTTTATAAACTCCCAAATTCGATACGTTTCCTTAGAATAACATCCGCTGTTTAGTAATTCTAACGAGCGATGGACAAAGTCGCCCGTCGTTGAGTTCCGTATACTAATCAACAGGTGGTTGGTGGGGTTTGACGCCATTCCTGTTTGTGCCGAGAACATTGTGTAAGTAGGACATTTTATTTTAATATGTAACGATTGAGTTATAGCTGTTAAGAAGTTTAAAAGTGTTTTTCTATTCAAATCGGCCTCTATTGAACGTTTTAAATATTAGAGGCGTTCAAATGCTTAAGCTTAATTCTCAATAGCTTATCTGCTTATTTTATCTTTACAATGTACGGTCATCGCGGAATTATTCAGTGGTGCTTGAAGTTTGAACTTTTATATAAAAGTTAAAATTCTATATATTATTTCGTTCATGAAATCCGATTCTTTCTGTTCTGTTTAGAAACGACTAAATTCTGTTGTAATTTTGGTTTATAAAGTTTTCTTGAACGTTTATTTTCCAGACAATTCGTCGACGATTTGCGACCACTTAACCGGAGTTTATCTGCTTGTTTATAAGAGGATCTGTGTTTATATTAAGATCACTTAATGTTTATAATTAGATTTATCTCTTATCTAATGCAAGCCTCTACATAATTCCGCCGTTTCACATTTATTTATAAAGCGATAATTACACGATATCCTGTTGTGAATTATTTAATGAATTTGTACGTTTTGTTTTTTTTTTTATATTTGAAAATACAAAATCGTTTTTTTTGTTTAGTGCCTTTTCCTATGACGTCGCGGCCGAACCGTCCACTCAAAATCGTCGTTATAGGGGACGGGACAGTGGGCAAAACATGCCTTCTGATTTCCTACACTACAGGAAGTTTCCCCGAAGGAGAATATGTACCAACGGTGTAAATATCCGCTTTTTTTTGTTGTAACATTTGAATGTATTTTGTCTCGTGCGTGTTTATATTTATGCATTTTTGTTACTTTAAGATTTGATAATTTTGCTGGAAATATGAATTGTGATGGCTTACAAGTTAGTCTTACTTTATGGGACACAGCAGGGCAAGAAGATTACGAAAAATTACGCCCGCTATCATACCCTGGTGTAAGTTTGTTTACTTGCATAGAAAACGTCTAATGGAGATCCTTTAAAAATTAACATGATGTCTTTTTTTCTTATTGACAGACAGATGTGTTTCTTTTGTGTTTCAGCGTAGACAACCGACCGTCTTTTAATAATATCGCCGCAAAATGGCAACCAGAAGTTCGACATCACTGTCCAAGGGCACCATACATCCTAGTCGGTAAGCTATAAGTGCATTTAAATATGCTGTTTTCATCTTTTATTTTTTTTATTCAATAAAAGTGTTCTGTGACCGCACGATAGCAACCAAAACTGATTTAAGGAGCACTTCGGACAATAGCAATCTTATATCGAGAAGCAGCGGTAAGAAAATGGCAGCTAAAATCAAAGCAGCGAAATACGTGGAATGTTCAGCGAAAACTTTGGAAGGTGTTCAAGAGGTGAACGGCATTGTTGGATATATAAGTGCGTGTGCCATTTATTAACTTTTATATTTATTATTAATGCTGATTTTCTTGTTTTTAGGTTCTAGAAGAAGCCGTCAGGTCAGTCCTTAACCCAAAGTCAAGCTTTAAATGTCAACGGCAGAGATGCTCATTGCTTTAGTATTTGTATATTAGTCTTTATATGTACAGAGCATATTCGATAACGTTTATTGTTACATCAATAAATTGACTTTAATAATGTTTTGTAGTTTTAAATAGAAAATATTCATGTTTTTACCAATATTTATATAAATATTGTATGTAGCAATGGTGCTGCAATTCGTAATTTAAGCGTTTTTAATATGTATACCAAACAAAAGTAATTTATATAGAAAAAAAATGTTGTGTATAAAATTTGGATTAAATTTTTTAAATAGAAATTTTACATTTCAAAATAATACAATTGTTTCTGTATTATACAATTTATACTAAAATTTCCATTACAAAGCATTAGTTGTCATTTCGTGAGAAAAACTGTCCACATCATTGGAAATCATAAATTTCAAAGTTGGAATATTACATAAGACTGAAGTTTCAACAACTGTACAAATAGCATATTGAATTAAAACTTGTACAAAAATTGAAGTTTGGAGTGATGGTAATTCCATGCAACTTATGAAAATTAATATATAAGCATAAAATGCGCCAGAATAGGAGTTTTTTTTAACTACCTTGAAGATATCTAATATATACTCTTTAGAACTTATGTAAAGATACAACGAATACGTAATATGTAGGCCTATATTTTATCATGTATGTATGAATAGTCTGAATTTTGACATTTATATGTAGTATATACATAAATAGCATACAAAAATACATAAATATTTTTAAAATAGCATATATAGAAGTTTAATAAGCCGTATTTCCGTCATTCGAGGAAGAGCCCTTAGGCTATATTTGAAAGAAATAGTATGGCGGCATGCTTTAAACGGTTAAAAGTAATTTGTTAAATATACATTGAAGTCTAAGCTTCAGATAATTTTAACAAAAACGGAATATTTTCTTATACAGCTCCAATTGATCTCTACGGGATATTTATAAAAGAAATTAAATATATTCATTAGCTCTTTTGAAAAGATATTCCCTAAGGGTACGTGTGTGACATGCAGCTGAATAAGCAAACATGGAAGAGGAAATTGCTGACACAACGTCATCGGTATGTAAACTGTTCTATTGCTTTACCATCCTCATTTGGTGTTCAGAATGGCGGTAGTTTTGAACAGGAAAATGTAATAAAATTTATTAATTTTATTGAGAATAATTTTACTACTAATTTTAGAAAGTTATAAAATTCTTACAACTAAAATATTGCATTAATTAAAAGATGACAACTAAACGGTTGGAGCTTTCAGATTTTTACGTTGAAATTATAGAAACAAATTTTATAAAATGAATAGATTTTTCTAACTAATAATAATTATCTTAATATGAGTGATTAATAATGATAGAATATTTTAGATATCGTCGATAATGGTTTCCGTTTAATTGTCACGCCGATATTTTATCTTGTAAACTTGCGTAATTACTTATAATAGTAATTTATCAAAGCAGCAAAATAATTAATAGAAGATTGTTAAGGTAAAATATGTTTAGATGTTATAAAACATTGTAATTTAGCAAAAGAATTTGCTTTAGAATTTATAACCCATATCGGTTCGAATTTCATTTTCTGCATGCCTACCAGTTTTTAACGATGAGTTATTTGATGGCTCGTGGTCATAAAGATGTGTGATACCTGTATTATCAAAAATTATAAATTAAATATAGAAATTTAACAATTTTCTTTTTGTTTATAACATCATACAAAACATATAGTAGTATCCCTAATTCCCGTAAATAAGTACCCATTTTATGATGATACATAAAAATATGTAATTCCCTAACTTGACTTTTTTTTTGGAATTTTCAGAAAATGACACGTACGAAATATTCTGTCTTCAAAATATAAAAATTCAGAATAAAAAACCAAATAATTCGTCTCGATTACATGGAATATCTCTATCTAAAAGTTATCAGAAATAATTTTTTTTTCAGTTCAGACAAACTCCACGACCGAAGTTCGTTAAAGTTGATCCCTTTTCTCATTTAATATAGTATATTAACTTCAAAAAATAAAATAGTATTTAATCATCAAATCAATGTTAAAAACTGATGCCAACCAGCCCAAGAATTAATAAAAATAATCATGATTAATGAACGTTCCTTCACAAATGGAAAATTAAATTAAAAGCAATTAAAATTTATAACGGAGAAGAGATAATGAATGTTTATAACAGAGATATTACCTTGTACTTCTACAAGATAACTGTTATAAACAAATGCAAACACGGCAGGCAAATTATTTAAATCACTTCGTAACTCAATTTTTATTTAAATTTCATTTAATAAATTTATGTTATTAAGTTATCCAATTCTTTTTAAAATTTGATTTGTGGAAATTTTATATAATGGGATTAAATGATCTGTATTCTGCTGAAAAATAAATATGAAAAATCAAACATTTTATTTAAGAATTTATTCTTTTAAAAATCATTCCGACAAGGTAAAATCTGATATATCTGATACAATAAAATATAAAAATTAATTAACCCCGTCCACCAACATCGGGACGCCTCCATTATGAATTGGGCCGAACCCACGACAGGCCCCCTTAGCGTCCACAGGACGGAAAGAGTTTTAAATATATATACTGTATGTATATCATACAATGGAGGAGTGTCGTGATTTCCGAAGCTGTTGGCTCTTCTTGTTTCAGACTAGTGACATAAAGGAAATCTTTGTGCTGGTATTTTTTAAATGTTTTTTTTTTATTGGGAAAACACGGTAATATTAAATTAATTTTAATACTTTTACTTATTTCTAGAATGGAATCTAATCCTGGTCCTTTATAAACATCTCCGAGAAAAAGTGGAAGGCCTCAGGTGAGTCGAAGTACTGTATAGCCTATAGAATATCAAACAATGCAGTTAGAAATTTATACCATATCCAAATCCGCTCGTACTTTGAATATCTACTTTGTACTTATTAAACTGTGTCTTATTTTACACATCATATTAAAAATATTTTGATGTTTGACGTCTTTATATTTAAANTCCTTCCAGACTATTTGATATCTTATTATTTATTATTTATTTGATATTAAATTTAAATTTATTATATTGATATACAGTAGAACCCGATTTAAACAAAGTTCTGCATTATCTGAGGTAAACCCATAAGTGAATACCTACTTTTCTTACACTGTAATTAATAAAATAAAGTCTAAAATGCAGTGGTATGCTATCCATGGAAGCTGTGGAAGTGACATTTCCCTTGTATATTCTAAAATATAAATACATATTGTGCAATTATTTTTGTATTTTAACATTCTTTGAATTAATTAAAATATCTATAACCATGAGGCAGATAATAGTAAGGGCTTCTCACACCAATGATATGTTGGAATCAACGGTCACGATGATTTGTAATGTTCTAACGTAATAAAAGGTTGGTGGCACTCTTGACCCCTCGGGCAAGGTGACCTCATTTCACTCTTCCCTTTCTAGCGCTGACCTTCCGGGAGTAAAAACTGTGTGTAATCTTTGTGCACTCTTTGTTCTTTTATTACACAACCGGTTACGTTAGTCCAATTGCCTTTTTACTAATCTCTTCGAAAAGCAACATCCAGTCTAACCTGATAATGGGCACAAACGTTCAAGAATCAAAGTAAAAACATTTAATAAAACAAAAAGGGATATACAATAAGATGATTACATAAGTATAAAAACCGTAAAAATCCAAAATGCATTTTGGACTATTTTCCAATAGAAAAATAGTCCCTCAACAGTTGGTATTAATGAGAGGTCTTAGNAAATATATATATATATAGATTCGAATAATTTAAAACAAAATAAAATTATATTGTTTACTGTTCGTTTTTCCTTTTCATTCATTCATTTTTATCAGATAAAACAGTTTGAACGTATTGTCTTAACTGAAAAACATCGACTTGATTTAAAGAGAACTACAGTACTTGTGTAAATCGAAACTGTACAAAGTTTGAAAAATTTGAAGTAGTGTATATGATATAAACATCTTAAACATTTTAATCTCTCAAATGTAAAAATAATAAAGCTACTCTTACAATGTTAATTTAAATAGTGGGTTTTTTTAGGTTTTAGGCCTTTTTCCGCTCAGAGAGCACTAAAATTTAGTGCCAAATTTAAATGGGTTGGCCACGTGGAGTTTTCCGGGTTTTCTTCACATCTCTAACACTTAAATACGGGCTAGTTTTCGGTAGTTTCCTTTCGGGTGCATCATCATCCTCGTGTTGCATTGCCTTATCCCACGAACCAAGAATATTTAAGCATGACTTATGTGAATTAAATATCATAAGTCATATGTCATTCTTTAGGTCATAGGTCAATAGAAGTTTAAAGAGATCAATAAGATTAATTCTTATTGTTTAGATTTTGCCGTTTTTAGCGCCAAACTTGATTTACTGTGTCAAGAAGTTTGGTTCCAATGAATTAAAACTTCATTTTAAGTATTTTAAAATAGTTTATTTTTCTGTTTCGTTGATTATAAAAATAAAAAATATGTTGAGTGCCATCACTCATGAGTTTATTAATAAATCTTGGTAAATATGTTATTTCAGAAATGTTTGGTCAAATTTCACAAGAGAGAAAGTCTGAATACAAAAGTCGAAGGTTGTTTTATGATCTAAAGCTTAATTAGCGAGTTATTAAACATCAAAGTAGAGTGACATCATTTCCATTTTTTATAAGTATGTAGCCTAATAAATCAATAATTAAATTCGTTCACTAATCACAATTTCTTTATTAAACAGTCATTTGTTAATTAATAATAAATAAAACGACACTATAATTAATCACAGAAATGTCGTATCATTTCATTGGGAACATTAGTCATCGCTATATATCCAAGCTGTATAACACAAAATTTCATTTGTAGACGAGGCTAGCCTCACTGCTACCCAATGCTGCTTACTGTATGAGTTTTCCCACTGTGCCATCATTCTCAACCATCTCGCTCCCAGAGGGACAGTCTGGCATTCCAATGCCTTATCCCTTAGTGTATTTTTGGTATGTCTTTGAACAATATTTTATCAACAGTGTAAATGTTCTAAAATTCTTGATTTCTAGAGCATAAACGCGTTCGTGTTCTAAGAAATCAATAAAGTAAATTGCAAAAAGAAGCAAAGATTTGCGTTATTCTATTGATACTTCTACATTACCGAGAAATAGAAACACCCTTCTGCGGTTTTCAAAGAGAATTCTATATATTTTTAATAATTATTAAACGCTGTCCTTCATTTCATACCATGTTACAATACTATTACAATAAATTGTATGCGAGATGTGAAGCAATCGAAGATAGCCTGGCATTAGGAACCTCTAGGCCTAAATGCATTCACATGCGTGCCCAATGCAGCAGCCTTCTCAACCATTGTAAGAGTGATGGTAAACATAGTCTGAAATGAGGGACATAGTTTAAAAAAAAAATACAGGATTTTCTGTTTATGGACAAAGTTAACAAGAAAATCCATTTTTTTACCACATTTTTTATTGGTGACAAGATTT